CCAATACACTCGATGGTGTGTGTTAAGAGTCTGGTCAGCCATCCTGTAGAAGGCAATGGCTAACCACTGCAGTACTTTCCCCGTGGGTGTTAGCCAATCCAATGGAAGGCCATGGTCCAACCTTTGGAAACAGGGAATGGGAGACAAGACAGACAGGCGGACTTGCGAAAGGGTATCATTAAATGTTGCTGAAATGTATCTCCACAGCATTGTGGCTCTTATGATACCGCGCTGTCAACCTCTGTTCTCCACCATACGTTGTTGCTAAGTATCCTGATCTCTGGATTGAACGCAAGACACAGCCCAAATAAAAATAAATCACCTATAAAATGCCTTTCAAGTCATCTTCATCATTTGATAGAACAAAATCTGACACATTCAGTGACCATGTCCCAGTTTCACTGAGATAGCTGAATCTTTGTGGGCTTCCTATTTCTGAGATCAGTGGTGAAGTAACTCCCTGTTGCTGGCCACGAAAGCTGCCCTCAACAATCTCTCAATTGCCATGCTTACTTAGTTCTACATCACCCACAGAACAGGGTTACAGAATGATTAGAGCACAGGAGGAGGCCTGCAACCAATGTGTCAACTGCCCGCAAGATCTACTTTGCTACTCCTCACCCCAGTGCTCTTTCATTGTGATAATAATAAATTCAAGAACTGTGGATGCTGGAAAGCTGAAACAAAAACAGCAAATGCTGGAGAAACTCAGCAGGTGTGGCAGCATCTGTGGAGAGAAAGCAGAGTTAATGCTTCAGCTTCAGTGACCCTTCATCATAACTTACTTCACGGTTCTGAAGTCATTCTGATCCCGCACTGGATTCTGCGTTCTCTCCTCGGATGCAGACAGCCCTGCTGTGTTTCTCCAGCCCTTTCAATGATTTTCTCTTTAGGTAATGATCTAATTCGCTTTTGAAAGTTACAACTGATCAGTTTCCACCACCCAGATCCTAATCACTCAGTGGGTGAAAAAGCTGTTCCTTGTGCCACCCTCTGATGTTTTGCCAATCACTCTAAATCTGTGTCCTCTGACGCTCCATCCTTCAGTCAATGGGAACAGTGTCTCTCCATCTACTCTGCTCAGACCCTCATGGTTTTGAATTTCATCATGAAAGGAGCAGAGTTCATCATTGCCAGTCAAGAAAAATAAAAAAAAACACGAATGGTCTAGATTTAAAGGTTGTAATTATGATGCTTGCAATCATCAGCCTATGAAATTCATCTATACGGTTGTTGGATGCAACATTGTGAGGAGATGATCGGTGAAACATCCATTGGTTTGATAAAAGAAACTCATTGTGCATCTCGATTACTTGTAGTCTTGCTGATTTGCATTTGATTGCTTCCAGTTTACTTGTCCTATTTGGCTGAGTCTAACCCTTCTATTCATTTATTAAAATTGAAGTTAAAAGTGTTGCTTCATTTCCTTCTGACTCAGCCAAAGGAGTCTTCCTGTGAAGCTGTTAGCTAACGATGTAACAATATCCTATGTTAAAATGTGCGATCAAAATGCAAAAAGGCACCAAGCTTTCCCCTTGTTCAAAAATGAGAAATTTAGAAATTTCCTTTAAATCCACTTCAGTTGATGCAGTGGACTATAACTGTCTTAAATGAGCTCAAATACCTGTTGAATATGACTTGCCTGAAAATTTGACATTTTGAGCTGGCTAACAAACTCTCAGATTCACACCATTGTCCCTGATAAAACATGTTTGGGACATTTAATGAGGATCCATGTGAAGTACTGCACACCATGCTCTGTATTATTTCACAAACACATCCAGAGCTCCATGTAAATGATTTAATTTAGTTTTTTGTAAACAGATGTAAAGCCTGGAGACATCTGCCTGTTGTGATTTGTCAAGGCATTGTATAATGCAAGCTACATTGCAAAGCTTGGATTTATATTAATGATTTGGATGAGAGTGTAGAAAGCATGGTTAGTAAGTTTGCAGACAATACCAGGATTGGTGGCACAGCAGACGGTGAAGAAGGTTTTCTAAGATTACAGAGCAATCTTCACCAATGAGTCGATGGGCTGAAAAGTGGCAGATGTAGTTCAATCTGGATAAATGCGAGATATTACATTTTGGTACAACAAACAAAGGTAGGGCTTATATAATTAACGGTAGGGCTGTGGGTAGTGTTGTAGAACAGAGGGACGTAGGGGTTCAGATACATAATTCTTTGAAGTTTATGTCACATATATACAGTAAATATACAGGAAAATACACAGGAAATGGCAGAACCCTTTGGAGTATTGATAGACAGAGGGATCTGAGTGCACAGGTACATAGGTCACTGAAAGTGGCAACACAGGTGGAGAAGGTAGTCAACAAGGCATATGGCGTGCATGCCTTCATCAGCCAGGGAACTGAGTTTAAAAATTGGCAGGAAATGTTGCAACTTTATAGAACCTTCGTTAGGTCGCATTTGGAATGTTGTGTTCAATTCTGGTTGCCACACTACCAGAAGGACGTGGCGGCTTTGGAGAGGGTACAGAAAAGGGTTACCGGAATATTGCCTGGTATGGAAGGCATTAGCTATGAGGAGAGGTTGGAGAAACTTGGGTTATTCTCACTGGAATGACAGTTAAATGCAAAAATCCAGAGGGTGGTGTCAGTGATTTAACTTTCCATCATGATGCATCTCAAGTCCTCAAGCACAGCCATCTTTTAGAGATCACTGAAGTGATATCTCCTTTTAATGAGTAATATTGCATTAAACCACACCACCTCTGAACAAGTTGTGGCTTTTTAATGAGATGTATCATTGTTTTTAAAGTGCACAGTCATTACTATTACTGAATAGGAGTAGCTTTCTAGGGCCAGAGCGACTGCATCCATACAATGTCCAAAGCTTCCACTGAAAGAATTGCATGATTTAGAAAAATAAAGTTTTTCAAAGTTTATAATCGATTTCTAAGGTGTACATGTTAATTGTTATTTATCTTTCGGTTAAAATGCATAAAGAAGGAATTGAGAATCAAGGCACTTTAGTTTATGGTGTGCTGGCTACAAGAATACATCAACGTGGTCAGCAGCAGGCTGTCACCTCATAATTAATGGTTAAGTACAATGCCTCCCCCACCACCAACTTAATGATTTAGCCATCTCTGAAACTGGTACATGACACGGAATTTATTAGATTCATTTTTATCAAATGTCCAGGATGATTTGAAATATCAAACGACATGCTCACTGAATCCTGTGTCAGAGTGTCTGTGTCTGAGGAAACGCACACATCAGAAGAAGCGTGTACACATGTCAGAGTGTAAGTGCGTGCATGAGAGGGAGCACAAGCGTGTCAGAGGGCACACACGTGTCCGTCAGAGGGATTGCATGTATAAGAGGGTGCACATACGTGTCACAGACATAGTGTACACATGTCAGAGAGGGTGCATGCGTGTCAGTACGTGTATGTGTCAGAGTGTGTGTATGTGTCAGAGGGCAATTGTACAGCAACGCTATAATTTTTGCAAACATTCAGCATGGGGAGGTGCAGCTCGCTATTGAGGAGGTAGACCTCATGCACGTGACTGGGGAGACAGCTGCACTCAGAACCAGATCCTTGATTTGCTAGGTTTTCTTCAGATGAAACGGTGGCATGCCTTCACTCGACTGCAAAACTAATCAGTATATAATGTTATTGGGATTGATGAGCCTCATTTACCCAGCATTGGAATCATGCTCTACTTCCCTGCCAAGTTCAGGCCGGATGCTCTCTCCCATGAGGAAGGGCGTTGCTTTGACTTTGATATTAAAACAATTACACAGTCAATTGACAGGAGAGGTTCTGGCTTTGGCAGAAGGTCCCTGTGGGAATACTCACACCCACTGACAGGAGACATGTTCCGAGTGCACAAGAACCTTTCCCAGTATTTCACTCAAACACCTCTAAGAGCAGCCACTGCCAAGTCTCCATTTGGAACTTTAAATACAGACATGGAGCAGTATGAGCCGAGAGAACCTCAAATACAAATGCAGCTAGGTGCGGACCACATTCATTACTACTTACATTCTGCACCTCTCCTTCTTGCATTGAGTTATTATTCTAAACAAGAAACAAAACAGCAGCTCTTAGTCTCACTACTTACTGCTCTATGAAGGTGAAATCTATTTCCCTCATGCAAGCAGCAAACCCATTCATTTAAATAGCATCTGTCAGGTAGTAAAATGTCTCCAAGGAGTTTCACTTTGCAACAAAACACAACTCTGAACCACAAAGGGACATGGTGACTACGATCATAATGTCAGAGAGAGGAGAGGGAAGAGGAGAGGAAACAGTAGGTAAAAAGAGTAAGGGCGGGGGGGGGGGGGGGAAAGAGAGATAGAGAAACAGAGAGAAGGAGGTTAGAGAGGGGAAGAGAGAGAAAGGGAGAACGTGAGTAAGAGACAAAGAGACAGAGAGGGGCAGAGGTGGAGGGAGGCAGACAGACAGAGAGAGAGACACATGCACGCACACAGAGAAGCAGAGAGTGAGAGAGAATACAGAAAGACAGACAGAAGCAGAGACAGGGGGGTAAAAGAGAGAGGG